CATGAATTTAAGAAAATACATATATACATGTGCTAATAATTTTTATTTGCATTTGAAAAAATACAAATTACAGTGTACAGAGAAAGTTTCCTTAAAAATGATTAAATACAGGGGACTAGGAAAGTGGCTCAGTGGTACAGTGCTTGCCTCACATGCGTGAGGCCCTGGGTTCGATTCCTCAGCACCACATAACCATAAAAAGATGGAAGGGACGCTGCGGCTCAAGTGGTAGAGTGCTAGCCTTGAGCTGAAAAGCTGAGGGACAGCTCCTAGGCCCAGAGTCCGGGCCCCACAACCGACATAAATAAGTGAATAAATAAATAAATACAAACATTTGTTGTGCCTCATTTAAGCTCAAATACCAGGGACATAAGCTTAACTTTAAGAGGTTACTTTTAGTGTAACCAGGTCAACTGCAGAAGGTGCTCTTGGTAATTTCCAAGGCTCTCTGCAGATTCCCAAAATCCTTTGTATCAATGACTACAATGACATTTTTACCCTAATTCCAAAAGCAGATGTTGTGCCTGTAGTTAAAAGAGTAGAGTAATATTGCTATTCTTTTATGTACCTCTTTAAGCCTGATAAGTATTTTTTTCAATCACTAGATAATGTGGTTGAAAATTTGAAAATGTGTTTCCTCGTGAAAACCCTTTGGTTTTGCTCCCACATTCATTCTATGGAACAACTTAGATATTTCTAGGAGAAATCTAAGTCATTTGAATGTGATCTTGAACCTTGTGGTTAAGCTTGAGTTTTTTTCTCCTTAATGGAGTGATTTTAGAGAAGCAATTTTTCTTTCCCTGGCTTTTGCAGTTCCTTGCACATAGCAGGCACTCAATAAATATTTATTGAATGGATTTGAATTTGACCTGCTTGGAAGTCATAGTCCTAGTGTAAGGCCATTAATTTTCTGCAATCGCTGTCATAAGTCACATGGCTTAATAGTAATCTCACTGATGCACTGCACATTTGGTGGCATACAGGAAGTAGTTTGGCACTGTATGTTGTACTTTCTCAAGTGCAGATTTAGAGGACAGCATAGTCTACACAGGCTGACCTCTCCAGTCCATTTCCAGTCTTCTGTATCACTAACCCATGAGCCTTCCTGTATTCCTTCCTTTTAGAATAATTGCATGTACTCCTCCCATATCCTGGTTTCTCTTAAATCTTTCCAAACTGTTTTGCCTAGGATGTTGCATTTTGCAAATTCAGGTATGCGTTCCTTGATTCCCTTGTGAATGAATAATACTAAGCTGCTGATTTTCTCCTCTACCCCTGCATACTCTTTCTTCCTATAGCCCTCCATTCTCTGGCAATTCTTCCTTAAGCCACCAGGCTTTCCCACTAGATAACTCCTGTGACTTTTTCCTGTGTTCATACTGTCTGGAATAATGCCTGACATATAAACCTTTGTTGCATTAACAAATGAGTCCTGAAGTTGATGTAAATTAGCAATTAGAATAAAATAAAAATGGAAATTAGTTTAGAAAGGATCGTTAATTATGTGCACAGTTATAATTATATTAGAGTTAGAAAGAAGACCAGTCTGAGATTTAAAAGATGCAGGCTCTTGTGTTGGATTAATGTTTTTTTAATAGTCCTTTAATCTTTGTAGTTCTCAGTTTTACTTTTTATCTAGAAATGAGTGGATTGGATGGAATCTTTACAGAGATCCCTTGGAGCAAGAATTACATTTCTCCTAAGTTAATTATAGAGAACTAGGTCTCTTCTGCCAGACTTCTTAACACAGGAAGAATATGCTAGTCATCTGTAATTTTCTGCCACTGAGATTAGTACCTGTGATATAGTAGTTATTCAGTATTACTCAATAAAACAATACATTCCCACATGAATTTACAATCTTAAAAGTAAGTAAGAAAAGATCAGATAGAAAATAATTTGATACCTGTAAGATGTGAAAATATCTTTTAAGGAACAATTTTAGAGTTTTTGGGGAAAAATACTTAAGAGATAATTTTCTGTAGTCAGTTAAAAAAGCCAGCAGTTCAGGAAATGAGTGTGAAGCTGCTCTGCTGCCTGACTACAAGTTAATAATTTATCAATCTGTGACATGGTGTACAAGTACATGTTGCTGAAATTAAACTGTGTCTGTTGTAAGAAGCTGGTCACAGTACTCTTCAAATTTCTGTATTCACATCTATCTTTTGGTGTACAAAATTTAAATGCCTATTGGAATCAGGATATGTTAAATCATTGACATTTGGAACTTAGTCTTTAATGCAGAATGAACTTCTTTAATCATATACAGGTGATAGAAAAGCTTTGTCAGCTATTTTATGTGAACTGTTATAAAGGTTTGGTATTATTTACAAATGAAATGGCATCTCAACATTCCAGGAATGTTGAGATTACAGGTGTGTGTGTGTGTGTGTGTATGTGTGTGTGTGTGTGTGTGTGTGCGCGTGTGTGTGTGTGTGTGTGTGTGTGTGTGTTGTCATGTCTGTGCTGATACTTGGCCTGAACATAGAGCTTACCACTCTAGCTCAAGAGTTCTTTTGCTCTTCCGCTTGAGCTATGCATCCACTTCTAGCTTTTTGCTGGCTAGCAGGAGGTTAGAATCTCAATGATTTGTTATCACAGCTTGGCTTTAAATGTTGATTCTCAGACCTCAGCTTCCTGAGTAGCTAGAATTATAGGCATGAGCCATTGTCACTCAGCTTAAAATAGTATTCTTACATTTAAGTTAAATCTCTACCTCTAGCTTATTAATTTGTATACTTCTAGAAGCTGATAAGTCTGTATGTATCAGTGAAAAGATCTAGATTTTTTTCTGGATGAGTATATTTTGTTCGCTGTGTCTCTTTCATTACCCACATAGACTTCTAGTCATGACTACCCAAAATATTTCAGTTGGCAGATTTGAAGTATGCCTTTCTGTCCCTGTGGGAGGATAGTTAGTGTGATGAGCACTTGCAATATTCCTGAAGTTACTCTTTTTAAAACTTTTATTTAAATAGAAAAAAATCACTTTATATATCACAATTATTTGTTATATATCAAATTTGTATTTGAAATATTTGAAATACATGTATCCATATGTGTATATACTTAAGTATTTATACAAAAGCATATATGTATATATGATGTATACTCACACATCCCTTGAAATAATTGTTATAGTCAAATCAACATTCTTTCTATCTTATAATTGCTTACACTGTGTGGTAAGAGCACCTAAATCCCATTGCTTTAGCAACATTAGGCATACAAGTTGATGTTAACTATAGTCCTCGAGTTGTATAGAGTCATCCCTATGTAATTTTGTCCATCCTATTTAACTGCAGCTTGTACCCTTTGACTCATATATTCCTATTTCCTCCTTTTGCCTGTCTCTGGTAACCACTATTCCACACTGCTGCTATTTATCTGACTTCTTTATAATTTAGATTCTTTGTATAATTGAGATCATATAGTATTTTTCATTCTGTGCCTGGCATATTTCAGACTGCTGACAATAACTGAGCTATTTATGGAAGTGACTTAATGCCTCAAATACAAGTTCCTGTAGTCTAAAGGCACCTCCAAATCAACTTCCTCTTAGCCACCATGGTTTTTTATTTTTATTTTTGTAAATTAATGGGGCCTCGGTTGTCCCTGAGTTCTTTTGCTCAGGGCTAGTGCTCTACCACCTTGAGCCATAGCTCCACTTCGTGTTTGCTGGTGGTTGATTGGAGATAAGAGTTTCACAGGGCCATTTCTGCCCGGGCTGGTTTTGAACCGTGATCCTCAGATCTCAGTGTCCTGAGTAGCTATGATTACAGGTGTGACCTACTAGCATCTGGTGCTCTTAGCCAGATTTGAGAAATGCCATTTGTTATTCTGGTGCCACTTAACATCAGCCGTAACAAGTAATGGAAAGGAAATCAGACTGGAAGCTGTCAGAAATGTTATTACCAATTATGTTTTAAGTATTCATATTTATCTGTCTATACACATATAATTAAATATGCATATACACAAACTTACTGTCACATGTACACACAATTTATATATCGTATATTCATATGTATATACCATATATAACATATATATATACATATAATGTGTGTGGTGTATATTCCATGTATGTGTGTATGTATGTGTGTGTGTACGGTCTGAGAGATCCAGAAGTTTTCACTTTACTACCTTCATACTAAATCTGTTTTTATGTATCTAGTTGGACTTTCTATTAGTTCTGCTGCAGTGTTACACTATGTGTGCTCTTGTATAATCTCCAGAGATTTCAATTTAAAATTAGGTTTGACTGAGTTTCTGATGCCCTAGTTGGAGGGGCAAATGAACTGGGCTTACTACTTCTTGGCTAAATTCACATGAACATACACAAGGGAACAGAGTATATGGTTGAATTACTTCCTTTTAATTTAAGTTCCACAAGCAGACCTGTATGCCCCAATGGTTGGATGGTCCTTGGCAGAATGATTAAACTATTAAGTATCACATGTTTACAGGAATGGTAGGTGCTGTGAGAGGTGGAAGACTTCTTCTGACCTGTCAGCCATTTAGCTACTTAATAACTCAGTTGTTAAAATTTTACCTTTTTTTTTATTCCCCTAGGATTGGTAAACAATATGTAAAAATATTAAAATCTGTAAGAGAGCTTTAGCTAGAAATTACATATAGTAAAATAATGTCAACATGTGCATTGGTTGCCAGCAGAAAAGGACTATTTCCTCATTGTTATTACAAAAAAATTATTGTAGGTAAACAGTGATTAGTACACTAGAAAGAGAATTAAAACTTTCAGAATTGAAAGCAAAGATGTGATAAGAATAGTCTGCATGTGAAGAGAATAGGACTTGATAGTAGATACACAGATGTGAAAATTTGCTAGTTCTTCATAAACTGGAGTTGCTAATTTAAGATCACAAATTGTTTTATGGAAGATGAAAAATTAGCTATAGCTATGTCCCTTCACAAGTTTTATATGAAAGAGCATGTTCTGATTCATATAAATATACTTTTTCTTTCTTTGTTTTTAGGTAAGACTGTGCCAAAATCCCAAACTGCAGTTGAAAAATAGCCCGCCATATATACTCGATATTTTACCTGATACATACCAGCATTTGCGACTCATACTGAGTAAATATGATGACAACCAGAAACTTGCCCAACTAAGTGAGAATGAGTATTTTAAAATCTACATTGATAGCCTAATGAAAAAGTCAAAACGAGCAATAAGGCTTTTTAAAGAAGGCAAGGAGAGGATGTATGAAGAACAGTCACAGGACAGGTAAGACTATATCAGAATTCCTTTTCCCAGTACTATTTATTTTGCAGGTGTGTCTCTTAGTTTACATAAAGCCATTATGTATTTTTTATTTTGTTGAGCACTTTGTGCGCTTATTTCAGATATTATTTTGCACAACTTTATGTATAATCTTGAGTGGATGTTTCTTTTGTGTAAACTTTATAGAATAGTTTTAGGTCCACAGAAAAAATTGCTGAGGAAATGCAGAGTTCTTTTCTCCTCACAAGTAGGCTCTACAAATTGTGCCTTAACATTAACGTGCTCAATTTACTATGGTTAATGAACCAGCATTGTTTTAACTGGAGTCTAGAATTTGCATTAGGGTTCACTGTGTTTCATGGTTCTGTGGTTTATAAGTGCTAAGTGTCATGTTTCTACCATTGCAGTCCTGAAAATACCCTGTGTTCTACTTATTCATTGGCCCTGTTCTCTTACCCTACTTCCTGAACTCTTTTGGCAGCCCCTGATCTTTTCACAAGTCTCCATGGTTTTGCCTTCTGCAGATGCCATGTAGTGGAACTTACTCAACATGTTAACTTTTCCAGACTTAGCTTCTTTCCCTTAAAGCTCATTTAGGCTTCCTCTGCCTTTCGTAGCTTGGTAGCTTATTTCTTTATGTCAAGTCATAATACCTTATTGAATGCTTTTACCTTAATTTGTTTCTCCACAAGCATCTTGCTTGCTTCCAATTTGGAGTAATTACATTTGAAGTTGCTATAAACATTTGTGTGCAGGTTTTAATTTTTTTCTTCAAATAGTTGTACAAAGGTGTTTCAATAACAGATCCATTTTTGTACATAGTATGTTTTGATAAGATGAGCTTAAGTAAATTTTACACATATTTAATTTTGTAAACTCACACTTTCACATTGGTTATACTGAGTTTTATTCCTACTAGCAATGACTAGGAATAGCTTGTGCTCATTTTCACACCAAATTTGCTATTATAAATAAAAAGTCTTTATCTTTTGATTGAATCTATGAGTGTGGTAGCTCTGGGTAGAAATGTAGCTTTGGTCTCAGTATGTGGACTAGTAAGAGAAGCTGGAGTAAAAAAGACTAACATGACATCAATTAAATTATCATTTAATTGTCAGGGTTTTTGACATAGAGGGCGCTCATTAATTTTTTTTTAAATATTCTTATTGTAAAGGTGATATACAGAAGGGTTACAGTTACATAGGTAATGAGTATTTTTTAATTTTTTTTCCTGACCTAGTGCTTGAACTCAGGTCCTGGGTGCTATCCCAGAGCCTCTTTGTGTTTAAGGCTAGTGCCACTTCCAGCTTTTTTGAGTCACTTGGTGAAGATATGAGTCTCACAGACTTTGCTGCCTGGTCTGGCTTTGAACCATAATTCTCAGATCTCAGCCTTCTAAGTAGCTAAGATTATAGGTGTGAGCTACCAGCGTCAGGATGAGTACATATCTTTTTTTTTTTTTTTTTGATCGTGGGGCCTGAACTTGGTCTGGGCGCTTCCCCTCAGCTCTTCAGCTCAAGTATAGCGCTCTACCACTTGAGCAACAGCACCTCTTCCAGCTTTATCTGCTTATGTGGTGCTGAGGAATCGAACCCAGGGCCTCATGCATGTGAGGCAAGCACTCTACCACTGAGCCACCTTCCCAGCCCCTACATATCTTTTTAAACAATGTCAACTCTTCCCTTGTTTTCTCCCAATTTTTTCCCTCTCCAATCCCTTCCCCCCAAGTTGTATAGTTTATTTTCAACATAGTATCAAATGAGTATCACTGCAGAATTAGTTTACCCTTTGTCATTATATTTCTGTGCTTCCCATTACTCCCTCAAACATAAACTTACATATAAGACAAAAAGTACAGAAATAAAGTACAGTGACAAAGGGGAAAAACAAAAAACAAAGCAACATATCAAAAAGTAAAATAAAAACCTATTGTTTCCATTTCTTGGAGTTCACTTTGATAAAAATCATTTTATAAGCTCATATGCACATAGCTATTGAGTCTTTGTGACCCCCTCCTAGGAATATCCTCCTTGGGTCTCACTGTGTAAACCTTTGGACTCATGTTTGATTTATGTCCTAGTGTTATTTATTTTTCTTCTGTCATCCACTGTGTTTACTTGAAGATTTATAGGTACAGTCTAATTACTACAAATGAGGGAAACCATGTAACCTATGCTTTATTGGGCTTGGCTTACAAGGTTTCCAAGTCTTTTCATTTCCTTGGGAATGGGGCAATTATTCTTTCTGATAAAAGCGTAGAATTCCATTGTGTATGTATGCCACATTTTCTTGTTCCATTCATTCCCTGGGGGGCATCTTGGCTATGTTAAACAATACTTTAATGAACACGGTTGTGCTGGTAGCTTTAGTGTGGCTTGGTTTGTGGCCAATGGAATAAATACCCAGGAGTGGAATTGCTGGGTGATAGGGAAGCTCTGTGTTTAGTCTTTTGAGGAACCTCTGTACTGGCGTTTTTGCTATGTCCAATCTCGGATACTTATTGGCAATGAAAGTGTGTCGTAAACTAAAAATTTCATATTAATTAAATAATTAAAATATACAATGTCTTAATATTATCTAATTTGATTGTTAAAGAAAGTGAAATCTCTTTGGATTTTAGTTCTTTGTATTAGTTAGGAAAGCTTCTAGAAAACTTGAAATGTTTCAGGTTAAAAAAACTAGTCTCACTTAGTCTGCATCTTAGGTTTGTGTTATATAATGTATTGTTTTCTACATATGTGGCTCTGAAGATTATAAATAGTAACCAGAAAAATAGACAGAACGTGTAAAACCATTAAATCCAAATAGAAAATCCCTCTACCGAAGGTAAAATGGCATAAATGTGAATGGATTTGAAATTCTCTCTCTTAGTCATGACCTGTATATACTCGTGGATGTGTACTTGATTATGAAACTCTGGGCTCATCACTTATGCACCAGTTTATGTACATTTAGGAGTTGAAAGCTCTAAGACTCTCCAGAAATAGCAGTGGAAATTTGAATTGCCACTAGGTTCCAGAAGCAAGATAGAATTTCAGTGACTGTTGATTCTTACTGGCTGCCATTATTTGAAGCCAAATCTTTATATGGAAATTTTATTTGCTATTAAAAGATTGACATGTGTTATAAGTTTTAGGTGAAAATTTTAGTGAAAATGTTTAAATTAGATGTGGTAAGGGTGTGGTAAACTTATATCCTACTTGTACATCTTCTATACAAATTTGTATCATTGAATGAATAAACGAGTAAGTACATCACTCAATATATTTCCTACTCAGGTCCTGCAGAAGAGCCCACATTGAAATTATACTAGATAAGTGTATTTACTGCCTTAAACAGACATTTAATTTAAGGCACTGTTAAAACCTCTTGCCTTGAGAATGGGTAGAGTAATGACTTACAGTAGAGGAAGGATGCACACAAGCTGCATGGACCCTTGGCGTTCACAGCAGACTCTCTTGTATCACATTTCCCATGGGTTATTTATTTGTTTATTTACTTTATAAACCATTGGGCCTCACAGGGGATTGGTGCTTCTCCAGGAGAATGTCTCACCCCTTCTGAGCTGGCATTTCTGGGAAGAGTGATTCAGTGATTTTTGGCACACATAGAGTTTGCATGTGTGTGTAGGGGAAAGGGGACCAGGAAATCGGTAGTTTGAAATATAAAGAAAAAGAGACAGCCTAATAAGGTTCTTTTTTATTGAAGGGGGGGGGCAATATGTGTGGCAAAAGTCTAAATGGACGTGAAGATAGGCACTCCTGACCATGAGCAGGAGGTGTCTTTCTTCTATGATTTTGGCTGTTTTTATCAATTCACTAGTGGTAAGATGTATTCTCTTATCAGAAAATTATTGAAAAAACAGCTGCTCTGCAGGACCTTGGCATGTTTTTGAACAGTTGGAGATGATAGGCTCAGGATATGCAGGTTTTTCCCTGTTTCAATAATTCTTCAAGGAGCCAGGGCCATGGAACCTATTTCCCTTCCCACACTCAGCTTTACCACTGAAACTAACCCAAAAGTCATCAGAGGTGGAAAAAAATAGCTCAGCATTTGACAAACTATCTGTGAAGAAAATCAAGGCTTAAAAAAATTCAGGCCATAGAGGAAAGCACAGATGTTTTCTTGTTAATATCTTTTTAAAGCTGGGGTTCATTCTTCATATACCAGCACTGTAGAATGCAACTCAGCTCTTAGATGAAGGTGTATGTGTTTGTGTGTATCTCTGTGTGTATTTGTATATATGAAGAGTTTTAGTATTTTTTCACAATAATATACTGATTAAGATTGAATCAGAACACATTTTAACATAGAAAATCTACTCTTTAAAGAGGTAGTTTATTCTGGAAAATTTTCAGAAGCTTTAAGAAAAAAATATTTTTCACCATTAACCTCACTGACAAAGGAAGATACACAATTTGCTACATTATTTAATAAAGTACCTTTCTCTTTACAGGACTGTTCTTCATTATACTATCTCTTGATACTTGGGTTGTAATTTATGAGTCATATATCAAGAATGCTTTATAATTGATGTTTGAAAAAATGCATGCCTAATTTTAAAGTTGAATCAAAACATCAGTAAGAAAATCCAAGCAGCTATGATACAACATAGCCACAAAAAAACCTAGGAGCATTCCCTGTGTAATATCTTTACTCTCAGCCAAGGAAAAATGTGCTGTTGCTTTAAATGCTTAGTTTTATATAAATACAAAATGCATGTTGATTGGATGAATTTAAAAGTCAGTTTAATATTAATCCATAGTTTGACCAGATTGAAAAGATTGACCTGTATGTCAATTTGGATTTATTTTTTTAGTTTGAACAGATTGACCTATATGTACAATTTGGATTTTTGTGTTTTTTTTCTCGTTTGAACAGATTGACCAGTATGTACAATTAGGATGATCAAAAGTAGTTTGAATAATTACTGGACTGTACAGGCTAATGACCTGGCTTATAATGACACTTTCAGCCCTACATGTTCTCATAGGGAGCTTTTG